CCGGTCTTGGTTGTACAGTCCTCTCCGGGAGGACGCGAAGAGTTCCATCATACTCCCACACGCTTGGGCAAGATTCCCCATTTACAGGCCCAGACCGCCCAGGAGTTAGTGCTCAAGGGCAAGAGAAAGGGGATGTGAGTCATGGACAGGCGGTGCGCCAGGTGCGCGGGCAGCCTGGGTGTTGGCGCTTCCTGCGCGAACTTTGGGTGTAACAGCGTGGACCTGCGTGTGCGTCTGTGCGCGCCCCAAGTCTTTGTGTACAACTCGTGCGTGTATCTGTCGACTGGGTTTTGTGAAGCTTCATCCACGCCGGCTCTACGTCTGTCTTTCCGCGTGTTAGTGCGCGCGGTTGGTGGTGGTGCTGGGCCCCGGGTGGGTCTGGCGTAGACCTTAGCAGTCCTGGGGGTAGTTAACTGTGTGTGTGTGTGTGTGTGTGTGTGTGTGTGTGTGTCCAGCCTTATCCCTTTTTGGTGTGATTGCCTGTGTGACCCGTGAATCTGTAGGTCACACCGTGTGGCTCCCCATGTCTGTGGGTGCTGCGGGTGGAAATGGCCCCTGGGGTGTGACCGTAGGACTGGGGGGTGCCTCTCAGGTCTTGTGGGACTGCAGGTGAAATTGGAGTGTCACTGGGACAGTTGCCACGTGAGCAGTGGACTCCAGCATCTTTGTCAATTTGTCCGTTTCTCCTTACGTTTTGGGTTATTGATTGGGCATGTGGGCATCTCTGAACCTGTTGTGAGAGCGGGTCCCCCTTTTCTCTGCCCTCTTCCTAACTCTGGCATCCCGAGGAAAAAGTTTCGGGTTCCTGCTGGTGAAAGCCCTGCTGCCAGAATCTGGGTGTCCTGGATTTCCTCTGGGATACGGAGGCATCCGTGTGCCAAGCTGGGAAGGTGGTTCCCGGGCCACTCCAGGAGTTGAGTTCTCTGGAGAGTGCTGAAAACTGGGGGTGGGGGCACATCTGGACATCCGCTGGGCAACAGCTGTCATCACCAGTCCCTGTTTGTGCAGGGCACTCAGGAAAAAGCGTTTGGTGCAAAGAGTAGAAAAGCCAAACAATCTATCTCTCCTCTCCATTTACTGCGAGTGGGAGCAGTCGGCTGGGCCTGGCCTTGAGTTGGCCTCCCTTATCCTTGTGTGGGAGAGATTGTCTCCCTGGGCAGGTTGCCAAGCCACTCCTGGGGGCTGCCTGTGTTCTAAGCCCTGGGCAGGGGGCTGGGGATCCAGACGGAATCCACACATATCCCTCCCTGCCCTCAAGCTGCTCATAGTGGCTGATAAGTAGTGGGAGAAAGTCAGTCTAGAGCGAGGGGGTGGAATGATCCCGCTGGTGCAGGAGTGTGTGGGTTGGCAGGTTTGCAGGTGATAACAAGAAGCTGTGCTTGCCTTCGGGTGCCCACATGCGCGCCATGGGACCTTGGCCACATTTTGTCAAGTGGAGAGGGTACTTCCTGCGCTCGCTCGGGGCTGGTGAGGGTTATAGCAGATACTCCGGAGGGAAGTGCCCACTGTAGGGCCCAACAGGGAGTGGAGGTGCTCAGTAAACACTTACTAAACGGGAACTCAGGAAAGAAGAATGTGGTGATAGAATTGGGTTGTAAGTGGAAACAGGCTTTGTACTCAGATGAAAGGCTCTGTGAGAGCTAAGAGGTGTCCAATGCAAGTCCATGTTGGAAAAAAGATCAGAAAGATAGAAAAACGTGTCTTCCTGCACTGAGGCTCTTTGAGTTTCATTTATTCACTCATTCATTTCATTCAGTTTTCACTTCATTAACTCATATCCCCTTTCCCCTGCCCCATCTCCCCCCCCCCACACACACACACGGAACAACAATGCACTGGAAAATAAATCCAGGCATGAGAGTGCACAGAGACATCTAGAATCATGTGTATGGGTGTATGTAGACACACCAGAGCGTGTGAGCCACTCTGCAACTGGGGGTCTCTGTACAGTGTGGGGACTTGGGTCTGTGTGCCTGGGGCCCTGGGTATGTACTCCCAGGACATCGGGTGTGTGGGGAACAGAGTAGTTCTGCTGTGGGACCGGGAATTTTACATGCCAGGTGGGGAAGGGGGCTTCGATGGGACCTGAGAGGGGCGGCACTGAATCTGCTAACAGGAGGCCTCCATCAACTTCAGCTGAGGTGTTGTGAGGAAATGGGTGCCTAGGATGTTGAGATTATGCATTTTATAAGAGAAGCCAGGAACCCAAAGCTTAAAATGTAAAATATTTTGCTTTTTATATATTGGCAAATACTTCACCAAAAACAAATGGACAGACCAGAAACAAACAAACAAAAAAACCCCCTGAAACTTCTGTGAGCCAACATTGGCCCATGAGCCATAAATTGGTATCCTTTGGCAGGAATGCACTTGTGCTGTCTACCTGTCTGACTGTGCGGGAGTGTGTTCTGATACCTCCTCTTTGAGCAGCGTGCTCCCTTTCCCCCTCCCCTCCCCCTCCCCCTCCTCCCTCCCACATCCCCCTCTATCTCCCCATCTGCAGTCCTCAGCCAGCCCCCTCCAACCCCCAGCTTCTACTTACATGAAGGCATTTGGCTTTGACTTCAGCGTGGCTCTCAAGTATGCTCCTTCCCTCAGTCCCCACCCGTGCCTCCCCTGACCACATCGGAGTCCTCCCTGGACCCCTGGCCTCCACACAGCGGCCAGAAAGAGCTTTCTGAAACCTAGGCAGTCCTCCCTGTCCCCACACCTCACCTCCCTGACTCCTTGGCCTGACGTGTAGAGTCCTTTGAGAGTGGATTCCCAGCTGACCTGTGAGGTACCCCATCCCCCTATCCCCACTCATCCTCTCAGATCTGGCTCAAATGCCGCCCACTCCCAGAATCCTCCCTGACTTTCTCTGCTTTGTTCCCACACCACCGCCATCACCTCTATCCCTCCCCTGCTCCTCGCCATCCTCACTTCATCACAATAGTGTCCATTAATTGAACTGGCTGGGCCTTACATGCATTATTTTATGAAACCCACAAGTTGACCCTGTGAGGGAGGCACTGCGCTTATTCCCATTTAACAGATAAGAACATTGAGGGTGGAGAGGCCACATCGCTTGCCAAGCCCAAGTGGTGAAGCTGGGATTTAAACCTGACAGCCACTGTGTCTAAGTTCCCTCCACCATAAAATAGCCCGTCGCTGATCCTTACAAGCACTTATTGTCATGAGAGCTTTATATGGATTATCTCAATCCCTACATCAGCCCCATTAAATAAGGGAGGGGTAGTAGTACTGTCATTTAATAGATGGGGAAACGGAGGCCCAGAAAGGATAAATGAATTGCCCAGAGCCACCTGCCAGCCAGGGGTGGAGCAGGATCCTAGCACGGGTTGTCTTTGTCTCATTCCCACCTCCCCGCTCTCTGGCAGCTCCCCCTGGTGGGAACTGTGCCTGGCTCATCTGCACATCGCTTGGGGTCCAGTGTGCCGTCCAACACCAGCAGGATCTTGGTCGAGGTTTGCTAAATTCTACTGACTTTCTGTTTTCTCTTCCAGCTGCCAAGGGGCTAAGGGATGAGCTGGGGCCCTCCTTCCCAATGGCATCTCCCCCTGGTCTGGAACTGAAGACACTGAGCAGTGGTCCCCAGACCCCAAGGAGACCGGCTCCTCTAGGCCTCGTGGCCCCATCCAGGCAGGGTGTGGAGAACGCCTGCTTCTCCTCGGAGGAGCATGAGACCCATTTCCAGAACCCTGGGGACATCAGACTCGGCAGCTCCCCCAGCCCTCCCGGGGGTGTACCCTCAAGGCCCCGATCCCAGCGGGATGACCTGTCCCTGCATTCAGAAGAAGGGCCAGGCCTGGAGCCCGTGAGCCGCCCAGTGGATTATGGCTTTGCTTCTGCTCTGGTTTTCCTGGTGAGTGGGATCCTCCTGGTGGTGACAGCGTATGCCATTCCCCGTGAGGCCCATGTCAACCCGGACTCGGTGACAGCGCGGGAGATGGAGCGACTAGAGATGTACTACGCCCGCCTGGGCTCCCACCTGGACAAGTGCATTATCGCGGGGCTGGGGCTGCTCACAGTGGGCGGCATGCTCTTGTCCGTGCTGCTGATGACCTCCCTGTGCAAGGGCGAGCTCTACCGCCGGCCGACCTTCGTCCCCTACAGGGGCTCCAGGAAGACCTATGGCTCCATTAACCTGCGCATGAGACAGCTCAGTGGGGATGGGGGCCAGGGCCTGGTGGAAAACGAAGTTGTCCAGGTCTCAGAGACCAGCCGTACCCTCCAGGGGTCTTAATTAGGAGCTCCCCTGATCTGAAACCCAAGGCTACAAGCCCCCCAAGGCCTTGGGTTTTAGACTGAGCTCCACACAGGGGCCTGGGGCAGGAGTCTTGGGTGCTGGAAGGGGAGGCCAGGGCCGGGCTCAGGCTCCCCTGCGGAGGGTGGCCCCCTGATCTGTTTTGTAGCTTGAGGTTTTGTATAAGTTTTGTTCGGAGATGGCTTCTGCTGCTAAAAATACAGAAGTTCAGAAACTGCTGCCCTTGGAGGATGAGGTTTCTTGGCATTTCTGACCATTGAGAGCAGTTTGAAAGGCTGCCCATCCTGTTCCTCATGCCTTGGGAAATTCCAGAATCTCTGTATACAGTCTTCATCAGCAAAGTGTGGGTGCTGGGTGACTTTGGAGGGACCCCTTTCAGCCCTGACCATCTAAGGTGGGAGGTGGCTTCACAATGAGGGGAGAAGTCAGCACTGGGGTGACCCTCCCCTCTCCAGGCCTCTGTCCCCCTGACTGTAAAGTGAGGGTTGGACTGGACGATCCCTTGGGCGCCTCCAGTTCTGCCCTAGGATGAGCGCCATTACCTGCCTCTGGCCACTCCTTCAGGTACTGACCATTCTCTGTGCTGTTTTCTGGGCCACTCAAGGAGCTCTCACGGCCCTGCTAGAGTTCCCTAAGCCTCCCGGTGATGCCAGGTTAAGTCCAAAATTCGCTACAGCCTGGTTTTGGTCTTGGGATTGAATTTCCTGCAGTGACTAGATCTTAGCACACATTTCACAAAGTCAAGTGCACAGTTTTCACCAACTCCCTGAACAAGAGGGGTCTTTTATGCAAGAAAGGGTGAGGGCTTTGCTGTGTTCCTATGGACCTGCGTTACCTCCCCCTTCTCCATAGTATTTCTCGTGGGCCTGACTTTATTCTGATAGCAGAAAAAAAAAATTTTTTTAGTGCTGAATTTGTAATCTCTCCCTCTCCCCCAGCCCTTTTCAGCAGTAAAGTGCAGTCCCAAAATATCTGGGGGGGAATCAGGCACATTTGGGTGGCCTGGAAACTCTGATCACGGTTTGTTTGTTTCTCTTGTGGAGTGTTCCCAGGCTCTGTCCAGACTCTTTTTAAACTACTGACAAGGAAAGGAAGTGAGTTCTAGGGGGCAAGGAGATACAGGTGTTTGAGGACTGGGGGAGACTCTGTCCAGTCTGAATGGCCTGGGAAGGTTTGAGAGTCCATGCCTTCTAGGCCATGGGCGGGAAGGGGTCATTTCAGTGAGCCCCCTGACTCCATGCAGATCCTGTTTCACTCCATCTCCACTGGCCATGTGGGCCTTGGATCTGACTGTCCCTTGGGGGTGGGCAGGTGGGGTGGGCATGGGGTCTGTAGGCTAGAGCAGCCCTGATTAGAGCTGTAACCCGAGCCTCCAGTCTGGTGAGTGGCACATGGAGCAGTGTAACATCACAGCTTCTAGGGAAGATCAAGTATCTGCTCCTGCCGGCAGGTTTTGCCAGAAGCAGAGGGCTAGGGGAGGGCTGGAGGGCACAAGGGCTGTTCAGCTTGGCCTGCCAGGTGCTGCTCCTGGTGATGAAGGGATGTGGTGCGAAAAGAACAAGGCTTCAAGATGGGGAGAGATTCACAAGCCAGGGCTTCCACCACGGTGCCCATTTCCCCGGGGCTCCCCGCCAGGAGTGGATGCAGAAAGTGGCACGAGCCATTCTAGGGAAACGACAGTAGAACTGAGCATCCCAAATGATGAGCTAAGGCCCTTCAAATTCATAATGATAATAAAAACACAAACCCAGGCCATATGGATTCCTGGGATGGTGGGGGGCCCATTTGGAGACTAGACCCATGGAGTAGATGCACCTGGGATCATCAGTTCCTATAATTTAAATGCAATGAATTGTATTTAGGAGCTAAATCAGAAGATGAAATCCCAGGAATCTCAGGTTTTCTCTAAGCCAGAGAAGCCTGCTTTGCATCCTAATGCAGAAATTCCTTTAGAAAATGTGTGTGATGGATCGAGGCAGTCATTACCTTGTCAGTGAATTAGGAAAACCTGAGAGATGCCAAAAACATTTCTCCAAGGTTGCAGCTGAACTCTCCCAGCAGTGGATGGGAATGAGGTTAGGGAGGGTGGCAGAGGGTGCCGAGAACTTCCTTTGCAGGATTTTGGGGGGTATGTGTGGAGTGGTCCCACAGGACCGGTGGCCACTGGAATGGGGCTCACCTCCAGGAATGGCCTCTCCCACCAGACATGCTACTGGGGCATTAGAACAGATAGCGACTTGGGAGTTGGGAAAACTGGGTTTGAACCCAGGCTCTGCTCTTTACTGGCTGTGTGACATTAGGCAAGTTATACTCCACCTCCGAGTATATTGCCTTCTTTATCTGTGAGGTGAGAAGAGTGAAAGCTCGGGCTCAGGGAGGTGGTAAGAGATGAGCTAGAGACCTGCATGGTCCAGTCAGTGCTCGCTCTCCTCCCCGCCTCAGTGGAGACAACTGGATTAGGCCTAAAACCTCAGGGTCAACTGTCTTTTTTCTCTCACGCCTCCTTCTACCCATCGGCAGATCTTTGTTCTGTCTTCAGAATCTGACCCTCTGCTGCCCCCCCCCCCTCTGCTCCCCATTCAGCCTCCACTCTGCAGCCAGATGAATCCTGTTAAAAGGTTAATTGGGGCAGGTCACTCCCTCTCACTCCAGGCAAAAGCAGAAGTTGTTGCCCTGTCCAAAAGAGGGTTTACCGTGCTAGGCTCCAAGGTCCCGAGTCAGGTTTTTATTTATAATTTTGATTTTTAAAAGGATGACCCCCTAAATTGCCTAAGTTTTAGGTCCCTCACAATCCTATATAATCCTATATAATAAAAGTCTAATATGCAAATTGTCCCCTCGGGCGGTTGTTCGACTGGGAGACCAGGAGTTCAGCTGCTCGCTATGATGTGTGCTGACCACCAGGGCAACGTGCTGTGACCTCTTGCCAGCTACCTGGGGGTGATGGGGATGGAGGTGCGGTGAGAATGCAGGGTGTCCCCCGAGCTCACTCTCACTCCCCCTACTACCCTCCCCCAGGATGCCAGGGTTTGGCTCCGGGGAAGCCCCCCACCCCACCCCCCCATGGTGCCGGTGCCCATGAGGAGCCCGCCCCTGCACCCCTGCTCCCCCCACCGTGGCCTCTTCCGGGTGAGCTGGGCCATAGCCACTGGGACCTGCCACAGCGGCCTGGACCATAGGGACTGGTCAGTCGGGTTCCTCGTGGGTTAGTGCAGGAGCTGGTCTGCGAGGTTGGCTGGGAGAGAGCGCTCTGTCCATCCAGCTTCTGTGTGGTGCTACTGAGCGGCCCAGAGGCCCATGCTGCGCCCCGGCCCGCGAAGTCTGGCCACGCTCATTGCAGCTTCGTGTGGGAACTCGGGCACCGTGACTCAGGCAGAGGGGCTTGTACAGGGGTCAGGGACCCAGGTGTTGCCAAGGGCCCAGAGGTCACCTGGTACCTGCCCTTCCATGCCAGACGCTCCCGCTTCGATCACCGGCCAGGCCTAGAGACCACACTCATGCATGAATTTCATGCACTAGGCCTCTAGTGGCCTATAAAACACCAAGCAATATGGCCCCTGGGCCTCCCTGACCTTATTTCCCCATCCCTTGCCTCTGGCTTATTCCAGGAAAGCCAGGCTCGCCTCCTTGTCTCCCACTTTATATGGGAGAGGTGAGGGTCTCCCTGATGGCAGAAGACCCCTCTCCCCAGCCTTGTCAGGAGACAGCCAGGTTCCAGCTCATCTTGGGGACATTTGCCAGGTGTTTAGGAGCCTGAGATCCACCAGCCTGATTCTCCTCACTCAAGGGAGTGCCCAGGCCTGGACCTTTGGAGCTCCAATATCCACCATCACATCTGCCCATCTCAGGCATCCTCTGCGTCTCTCAGCTGGAAATGCTGCTGCCAGAGAGCCCACCATTA